TGACGGGCGAAGCCACGAAGCCGACGTCCCAAAGTCCTGTAGATGAAGACGGACGGCGCGCTGGCGCCTCGGCCTCTCTCCCTCCCGGCGCCTCGCGGGAATCTGAGACCTCCTTCGGGCGGTTGCTTGCACGCGCCCAGAAAGGTCTCCCGGTGGCCAGGGCTTGCATGGAGGCGGGAGGAGAGATCGGGCGACGGATCCAAGAGCATCTGGGGCTGGAGTCCGTGTTCCTTGGGATCCCCGTCTGCCGAAGGAGGAAGAAGAGAAGAAAGGTTGCATGACGGGTGGCACTGGAAGCCTTTGTGTTATCCTCAACCGATTATAGTCAATAGTGGAAGCATGTTGCGTAGGGCTTCGGTTCACGAAAAAAGACACGCATCATCTCTTAAACATGTATCTGATATGATATATTTCACATCGACATGTTCAGTCCCCGAACCGTTTTATATTTTTAGAAGGCAACTGCAGGCGAGCCAAGAACCGCAGGAAGGAAAATAAACGGGGAGAGGAGAGGGTAGGGCTTTGTTCCACGATTTCGACATGTGGACCTTCGACTCGACGTCCCCCTCAAATCATTATTCCTGAGAGACTCGCGTTCCCATTAAAGAACAACTTTGGAGATCACTCACTTTTAGCAGATTAAAACCCCGTGAATAATGGCTGTCAGTCGGTAGAGGAGAAGGAAGGGGAAGAAGGAGAGGAGGAGAAGAAGAGGAAGAAGAATGAGGACAAGAACAAGTACAGCTTTCGCCTCGACAGCAAAAGCAAAAAAGCAGGCAGAATGAAGCAGTAGAAGCAGAAATAGCGGGAAAAAGCAGGAATGACAGGACTCTCCCCTCCCTTCCCCTTCCCTTCCCCCCCCCCACCACCCCCCGCCTAGCAGCTCAGTTGGCATTATCGGAACACGAGCTTCATCAAAGGCAGGGGAAATAAATGCAGGACCGTTCATCCGCCTTGCCCGTGCGTTCATTTATGCTGTTATGTTTTGATCTCCGCGGGGAGGGGGGGGGGGCAGGAGAGGGAAGGAGAGGGAGGAGGGGAGAGGGTAGGAGAAGGGAGGGGAGAGGGAAGGAGAGGGGAGGAGGGAAGAGGGTAGGGGAAGGGAAGGGAGAAGAGAGGATAGGGGAAGAGGAGGGAAGGGAGGAGATGGGTAAGACACGCAGGGAAGGGAGGGGAGGTTAGGGGAGGGCCTAGGGTAGGAGAAGGGGAATTCATGCCAAATAATTTACGCCAGATGAAATCGCTGGCTAAATATTTGTTCTTTTTGATATTTCGGGAATTTCCCCGTCGCCCTTCGGTGTCCGTTGCAAGGGAGCATTGATCACTGATTCCCTCTCTCTCATTCTATCTATCTACTCATTTTCTATCGTTTCTCTTTCTCTCTCTTTCTCTCTTTCTCTCTTCTCTTCTCTCTCTCTTTCTCTCTTTCTCTCTCTCTCTCTCTCTCTCTCTTCTCTCTCTCTTCTCTTCTCACTCTCTCTCTCTCTCTCTCTCTCTCTTCTCTCTTCTCTTCTCTCTCTCTCTCTCTCTCTCTCTCTCTCTCTCTCTCTCTCTCTCTTCTCTCTCTCTTCTCTCTCTCTCTCCTCATCTCTCTCTTCTCTTCTCTCTCTCTCTCTCCCTTCTCTCTCTCCTCTCTCTCCCTCTCTCCCTCCTCTCTCTCTCTCTCCTCTCTCCTCTCTCCTTCTCTCTCTCTCTCCTTCTCCTCTCTCCCTCTCTCTCCTCTCCTCTCTCCCTCTCCTCTCCCTCCCTCCTCTCCACAACTTCGCTTTTGGGTTGACTTACCCTTTTTTTTTTTACATGGGAAGTTTAACTCTTTCCTGGAAAGAACAGAAGGAGAAAGCGAACGAAAGAGATGATGATGAAGAAGAAAAAGAAAATGAGGATGTTGTTTGCCGTCTCATGTTATCTACACGTTGCATCTCTTGATACTGCAATCAAGATCGGTTCTCAGATTGATATTGACATGAAATGATTAAATAACATCCTATCGCGACCCCATTGGATTTTTTCGGAGCCTCAATTTTTCTTTAATTTTCTCGCGTCTGTTTCGAGTTTCTCGAGGAATAGGGTTAAGAAAGATAAAAAAAAAAAAAAAGAATAGAGTGGAGTATGAAACAAGAAAATCCTATCCCCCTCTCCTCTCTCTCCTCTTCTCTCTTTCCTCTCCCTCTTGTCTCTCTCATACTCCCTCTCCTCTCCTCTCCCTCCCCTCCCCTCCTCCTCCTCCTCCTCCTCCTCCTCCTCCTCCTCCTCCTCCTCCTCTCCTCCTCCTCCTCCTCCTCCTCCTTCGCTCGTCCCCCTTCCTCCCCATTCCCCTTCCTATTTCCTCGCTTTCTTCTTTCTCCTCCTCTTCCTTTTCCCCACTGCGATTCCCCTCCTTTCAAAAATATGTATATATATCAAAATGGAAAGGAGGGAAGATGGAGGACAGGAAAGAGGGGAGATTAGAGGGGGAAGAGGAGGAGGGAAAGGGGAGAGGAAGGAGTGGGGAGACAGGAAGGGAGAGGAGGAGGGAAAGAGATGGGAAATAGGGAAGGAAGAGGAGGAGGAAAAGGGGAAGGGAAGAGAGAGAGAGAGTGAGGTAATGAGGAATGGAAGGGAAGAAGGAGGGGGAGGACGGAGGGAAGGGGAAGGCAGTACCCGCATGCACCTCCCCTTACCTCTCCCTCCTCCTCTCCTCCTCCTCCTCCTCCTCCTCCTCCTCCTCCTCCTCCCTCCTCCTCCTCCTCCTCCTCCTCCTCCTCCTCCTCCTCCTCCTCCTCCTCCTCCCCCCCCCCAGCAATCCCCATTTTTCCCCGAACGTAATTCCAGCAGCGTAAGTTACTGTCATGTTTAGCTTAGTTGGAATATAGATATGAAAATGAGTTATTGATCAGGGACGAGTCGGGGGTGGGGTGGGGGTGGGTGGGGGGCCTTTGGAGGGTGTAGAGGGGGGGGAGGAGGAAGACTGGGGGAGGGGAGGGGGGAGGGGTGGAGGAGAGGGTGGGGAGCTGGGGGTGGGGGTAAATGGTTAGGGGGTAGGAAAGGAGTTCAGGGGGATGGTGAAGGGGAAGGGGGGGAGGGGGCAGGTGGAAGATAGGAGGAAGATAAAGAGGATAAAGAGGGAGGATAAGGAGTAGGATAAAAAGGGAGGGGAGTTAAGGAGAGGCGTGGGGGTGTATTAAAATCATTTGCATATTTATTTATTTATTCATATATTGTCTGTGTATTTATTTATTATTTTGTGTGTGGAGGGGGTAGTCGCCGGAAACTTAAACAAATTTCAACTGCGTGGAAGAAGTCAAGAACGAGGGGGATGGGGTGGGGTGGGGGCGTGAAGGGTGGGTGGGTGGGTGGGCGGGGAGAGATGGAGGATCCGGAATGTCTTTTATATAAAGGCCCAACGTCTCGAGATTTAGACAAACGAGGGCGTTCAAACCGAGTGCAATTAGGGTCAGCGCTGATGATAATGGACCCAGGTGGAATCGTCGCGCCGACACACCTGCTCCCCCCACCCCACCCTCCCCACCCATCTCGCTGGTCCCCATCCTTCCCCCCTCCTGCCTCGCCCTACCACCCCACCATTTTTTTTTCTCTCTCTCTCTTCCCCACCTCAACCCCTCCTACCATCGTCTATTCCTACCTCCCCCTTCTCTCCCCTCCTATCCTCTCCTCTCCTCCCTCTCACTCTTTATCTCCCTCCCTATTCCCTCCCCCTTCCCTTCCCCCTCCCCAACAACCCCTTCCTTTCCCCTCCTACCCCCTCCCCAACCCCCTCCCCTCTCCCCCCCCGTGGTAATTTTCCCGCCCGCGACCGGAGAGAAACTTAATGTTGCGGCGTAATGCTGATTGCCGGCGGGATGTGATCTCCAACTTGATTCGGAGGGAGGGTCGTCTTCTCCCTCTCCTTTCCTTTCCTTCTTCTCCCTCCTCCCCTCCTTCTCCCTCCTCTCCCTTCTCGTTCTCCTCCTCTCCTTCCTCTTCTCCTCATTCTTGTTCGTTTCTTGGATTTTCATTTTTTCTCGTTTTTTCTTCTTTTGCCTCTTCTTCCTCTTCCTCTTTTCATCGTCTCCATGGTCATCGATATTTTTCTTCGATCCTCCTCCACTTCATCACCCCCTTTTTTCTTTTTCTTTCCATTTTCTTCGCTTTACCAAAATAAATCCACTCCCTGAAAAAAGAAAATGGGAAAGAGAGAAAGAAAACGGAAGCGCCGACTCCAGCAAGCGGCCGCCCGCCTCCGCGCCACCCGTATAGCGTCCTTTCCGAAAGGCATTTGACTCCCTTATAACGAACGAAAAAAGTCTGTCACGTGTTCGTAGGAAACGGTAACCTGCTTGCCTGCCTGTCTGCCTGTCATGAGAGAATCGTAGCAGTGCTATGGGTGTCATAGCAGGGCCAGGAGGTGCCGTGTAATAGCGCCTGGCATCACATCCGGTGTGGGATGTTTAACTTGCACTAGCGGGGCAACTGGGCATCTGGGCATCGGGGCATGGCTGGTCTCTCTAAATAACAACCTCCTTGATGGCAACACCACCAACCACCTTCCATCCTTAATCCTTTTTGATTAACCCTTTGGGCTCTCTGGTGACACCCTCCTGGCAGCCGTGCAAACAGACAGACAAATCCTTCCCTTTTGTGTTTTTGTTGTAGTTACTTTTTCAAATTATATTTAGTTTAGCTTTTTTTCTCTCTCTTTTTCCTTATTTTTTGGTTATACTAACGTCAAGGGTGTAGGTTTTTAGTTTGCTGTAGAAATCTGTTTTTAGTTTTAATAGATTCACTTCGATTTTTTGATATATCATGGAAATACACTATTGTAGATCGTTGCATTTTTCAATTAAATTTTATATACATATATACATATGTATATATATATATATATATATATATATATATATATATATATATATTATCAATGAATCTCAGCTAATAGCAGTTAGAGTTAGAGAGAGAGAGGTAACGAGAAAGTTAGAGCTCGCGCCTGGAGCCGCTAGGAGCCAGGACCACGCCTCCCGCCGCCGCCGCAGCTGGTGTGACTAACGAGGTTCCTCCTGCCGTGTCTCCCTCAGCTGGTCCCTCGCCTGACGTCCGGCCGCTGGACTCGGGGGGGAAGCAAGAACAGCACCACCACCTCCTCCTCGCAGGCCGGGGGGGGAATGCCCCACCTGCCTGCGGGGGCGTCGGGAACAGCAGCGGGGGGAGCGGGAATGGGAATGGGGGCGGGCCCGGCGCGGGCGGGGTCGCTGTCCAGGGCCTCCCTCTCCAGGGGGTCGCTGGGCAGGGGGTCCCTCTCCCGGGCCTCGCTCTCCCGCACCCCCCAGAGGAACAGCAGCAGCCGCTCGGCTCGCCTCCACCACCACAACCTGCACACCCGCACCGCAGCGCTCGACCACGAAGATGAGGTTACTGTCGCCGCCGCATGACCCTTGCTCTCCGCTTGCGGCTCCGCTTGCGGCTCCTGCTGGCCTCAGGAGCACTGCGCATGACTTGTCCTTTTCCTTTTAGTGATTGCTTTCCCGAGGCTCAGGAGCTCTTGTGTGAGGTTTGGAGCGCCGCCTGGCCGACGCCCTGCGAGGCCGTCCTGCAGCAGGAGCCCGTAGCCTTTGCGCATGAGTCGTAGTTCACCTCAGAGATTAGGATCCAAAGGATTTGATTCACTTGCCGTTTCAAAGAACACTTAGCACGCCGTTGTGCATGACGCGTGACATAGGGACGCTCTCAGCATCTGATTTCTAGCGCATCGCATGTCTTCACTTTTGCATGACTAGGTTCACTTTTAGCATAACTAATGCATGATTTGTTTGTTTTCTAGGTAAGGTTTTAGACGTATCCTTTGTGCATGAGAAGTAATGTCTGTAGGTTGTTAAGGCTTAGTCTGTGCATGATTCTTGATTAATGAATAAGTATTAGCACATGTTATGCATTGTTAGCACCGTTTTGCTTTGTACTTTTAAAGAAAAAGTGTTCAGATAAAGAGATAGAAAGTTCAAGAGATTGCAAGTATAATATGAGTCTGCATTGTTATTAGTATTACGTCCCTCCCTCGCCGCCCTGCCTCTCGACGCGCCCTAACGCCCTCTTTCTCCCGCAGAAGTACTCGTTTAAGTCGTGCGGCCGAGACAGCGGCCACGGCGGCTCCGAGCAGGAGGACTCGCCGCGCGCCGGGCCCGCCGCCAAGCTGGCCGCCCTGCGCCTCAACAACAACGTGGCGCCGCACCTGCCGCCCGACCACCTGGTCAACCCCTTCACCACGGCCGCGGGCGCCGCCGCAGCCGCCGTCGGCCACGACCAGCCGTCGCCCGGCCCCGAGGCCCTGCTGCCCGACTACCGCCTGGGCGGGGAGGCCCCCACGCTGCGCCTGCCGTCGGCGGGCGTCGGGCCCCGCGGGCACCGCACGCACTCGCCCTGGAACCACACCTACACGGAGATCCCTGACGGCGCCGCGGCGGCCGGCGTGCGCGGCGCGGGCGGCGACGGCGGCAGCGACCCCGTCTACGAGGAGATCGAGCGCGAGGGGCGCTCCGAGCTGCAGGTGAGCGACCTGAGCGACGAGGACGGGCGGCGCCACAGCTCGGACATCTCGCGGCAGTCGTCGCGCTCCTACGGCGACCACCGCCCCCTGCTGCCCTACACCCTGCCGGACCGCCACTCGGGCCCCCACCACCACCAGCCGCCCCTGCCGCAGTACGACCCGCGCCTCAAGGCCCGCCCGCGCCACCCCGACGGCCTCGACGACTCGCACACGCTGCCCGGCGGCCGCCTGGGCCCCCACATGGGCGGCCACATGGACCACACCGTGGTGAGCCCGGGCCACATCCTGCCCATGTCGCACCCCGCCGTGACCTCCGCCCACGCCCTGCCCCCCGGCAACGGCCACATCAGCGGCCACCAGTACCTGGAGGCGGCGGCGGCGGCCTCGGGCGGCCAGCGCCTGGCGGACGGCGAGCGGGAGGTGCTGGACGCGATGGCGCAGTACAGCCCGGCGGTGCTGTCGGCGCTGGGACAGGCGCTGCCGGTGGTGCACCCGCTGAGCGAGCCCAACCTGCGCAACTGGGAGGCGGCCCAGCGGCACCGCGACCTGCAGCAGCTGCAGCAGCTGGGCGAGATGACGGTGGCGGTGCTGAGCGGCGAGCAGGTGGTGTGCAAGCTGAAGCCGCCGCTGGCGCCCATCCACGAGAACGCGGGCGCGACGACGCAGGTGGAGCGCCACCCGCAGCCGCCCACCTACAGCCACTGTTAAGAACCGTGTACAGTCCTAGTTGTGTACATACGTGTATAGTGCTTTAAACCCATTAAAGGCCTTTACGCTTTATGAATGTAGGTATGCGAGTGTGCGAAAAAGTGTAAAGTAAACTCACGATAATCATTAATCTCTGTTCTTTAGACGCTGACGACGCAAAGGAAACAAACAAGTGGACGGACGGCGAGTCTCTCGCCAAGTGAACATGAGGAACAAGTGACTCACTGACTCGGTTTTCCTTCGTGAGAGAAAAAGAGGATTGCCGGTTGGCTGTCATC